GCACCTGATCTTGGGCAACCAGAACCGGCGGACTCCTTGCTTTCTTTGTTTGGTGCACGCCTTGCTCCTCAAGAGCATCCCTGAACTTCATTTTCTCTAGTCGTCAATGGAGGCGCTGGGTTCCCGTAGTTACGAAGACCGTGATGGGAAAGCAGAAAAGGAAGACAAGTTGGATTTTAAAGGACGGGTCCAAAGACATTAGGGGATGGCCTCTGTAGACTCCCCGAGCAGTCTGCCCCAGTAACCACCCTGCAAACATCTCAGTACCTGGGTCTCAAAATCTCTTCCAAATTTGTATCCGTCGGCTCAAGCACGCTGCAGAATTTTGACCCCAAATGGTAGGGCTGATGCTACATGGAATTCTGTTTGTCTAGACACCCGGGGACACACGCCAGAGATTGACAGCGCATGCTCCGTGGCTGGCCTCCCTGAGGACTTGGTACGGCTCCTCTGAGGAACGCCCTGGGGTGCACAGATCTTGTGCTTCATTACGTTGCTGTATGTTGCACGAGGAAGTCGCCGCACATTTATTTGTCTACATCTCACAATTTTTTTTTTTTTTTAAGGAAAGGATCATCCACCCACATGGTCAAGGATATATGTAGTGGGTTACAATGCATTCTTCAAAAAAATCTGAGAGAGCAAGTTATTTTGCTTGAAGAAAGAAGTTATGGCTGGATGCGGTGGTGCACGCCTGTCATCCCAGCGGCTCAGGAGGCTGAGGCAGGAGGATCACGAGGTCAAGGCCAGCCTCCGCCAAAGGGAGGCCCTAAGCAACTCAGGGAGACCCTGTCTCTCAATAAAAGGCAAAATAGGGCTGGGGAGGGGGCTCAGCAGTCGAGTGCCCCTGAGTTCAATCCCCGGTATCCTCCATACACACCAAAAGTAGTTATGGAAAGATCATGCAAATAGAATATTTGCAAAAGGAGAGAGAAAGAGTAAGGTGAAAAATCTTAGGCACAGCTGAAAATTTAGCTACTGGATGAACTGGCACCAACGTGAACTGATGATCCAGTCTTCCTGTCACTTCATAAAGCCACAAATGGAGATTGAACCACGTTCGCTCACGTAGATGGAATACACACCCCCAGGACCGTCATTACTGTAGACGGGGTCTCTGCAGAACTCCTAAGAAAAGAGGCCATAATTGGTGTTTGTGTGTAAAAATTGTGTATCTGGGGCTTTTGAGAACCATCAAACTGATTTAAAGAATGGTTTCACGGGGGTAAAGAAGAGGAATGCAGGACAATTAAATCCACGCCATTAAACTGGTTTGTTTCTAAGTGCCTCTGGGTGATTAAGAGTTCCTGCTCGGCGAGACCCCATCAAAACAGATGCAAGACTGAAGGCGGTCTCAGCSAGTCAGCCCTCSGTGATTGGATGCCGCTTCTGGAAGTGGGACGCGGCATCCGCACAGCGTGATTTAAAAACGGGTTCTGCCTGGTCACTCTGGATTTCAATTCCTGCTCGTCGTCGACTTGGCTTCACTCGGCTCTTGGTGCTCAGCAGCATTTTGTCTATTTAAGTCCCTCCCAGATCCTAAAGCATGCTGCCTATTTCCCAGATTCCTCTTCCCCCCGCCGCCCCGCCGCCCTGTGGCCTGGATCCGCACGTGAGCTGATGCAGGAGGAGATGCCAAGACCATTCCTCACCMCCTGACGACGCTGCCAACTCGAATCCAATGCCCTCTTCCCTGCACCAAGCACCGATTCAAGTATTAAAAATAAACACATTGCAATGGGACATCATTCAATGGACAGAGTCCTGGAAGAATTTTTTTTTTTTTTTTAAAACAAGGGTTTAATGAGAAGGCGCCAAAATCATCCGCAACTTGCTGTGCCTKCCTTCTAAGCTCTCCGGCGTTTTATTCAAACCAGCCTTCCCTGCGCAGGAACTGCACGGTGTCATCAAATCCACGCTGACACAGGGCTTCCATTTTCCTTCTGCTCGGAGGGAAGAGGGCCTGGTTGAGCCTCATGAGGTTGGGCAGGGACAACTAGGAGGGAAAGACACAAGTTCAAGTTGTAGGACAGACAGCCTTCACCCCCCAGATGCTTGGAGCCACCCCAAGATAGGACAACCCCAAATATCTCCAGGGGGTGCCATCGCCCCAGGTCCAGATCCGTGAGATTAAGAGACTTTTATGTCCGTTGCTCATTTGGGTCCCTAAGTATCTCTGCAACATTCTCCAATATTTCAGTTCTTCCATCTTTCTAAATGAATAAATGACCCAATCGAAAACTGCACCGACGGCCTACCAAGTGTATTGATGTGGGAAAGAGCCGAAGAGAGAGGAAAAGCTACGCAAAATGTCCGTTAATTAAGCCGGGCACGGAGGCTCACGCCTGTCATCCCAGCAGCTCGGGAGGCTGAGGCAGGAGGATCGTGAGGTCAAAGCCAGCCTCSGCCAAAGGGAGGCCCTAAGCAGCTCAGGGAGACCCTGTCTCTAAATAAAATGCAAAATAGGGCTGAGGACGGGGCTCAGTGGCCGAGTGCCCTTGAGTTCAATCCCTAGTTCCCCTCCCACAAAAAAGTGACTTCACCAGCAGCAGACAGACTGCATCCTGACAGCCCCAGGCCCCCGGTTGAGAATTGCCAGGCCGGGACTGCAGGCTGCATTCATTCTGCGGGGACTTCCCGTGGATGAGGGCACTGTAAATGTCACTGAAGGTGATGACTCACCATGATGTCCTGGTTGGTGACCTTGATGTACACGCTGAGCTGCCCTTGGTCTTGGGGGGAGATGTCCAGCCGTCCACAGAAAGGGGAGATGGTCACTGTGCGGCCTGCAGGCAGGACGGGGAGACTGTTGGTGAGGCCTCCGTCCACCCACTTCTGTGGAGAGGAAGGTGCACGTCCGTCAGTGGCCATGGGCGGCCCGAGTCCCACGCACAGAGAAGGAGCGGGGCCTTGTCCACAGCGACTGGCCTTCCCGGTCCTAAGGTGCACGCTTTGGGTGTCCTTGTCAATCAGAACGCCTGGGTGCTCATCCGACTGTGCGGCTGTGTTGGGAGCGAAGGGAATCTTTGTGCCTGTGTTGCTGACGGAGCTCGGGAGAACTCTGGACGGAATCAGAAAACCTCCCCCACCCAGGGAGCAGGCCCCATTGTTTATGGTCAGAATCAGAAATGGGCATTTTTGTGCAGCAAAGTCAAACATRAATAAGACAACCAGAAACCCCCTTCTGTTTGCAAAGAGGTTCCCTTGGGCACAAWGACAGGCGTATGTTCTGAAGCTATAGACGGTGGTGAGTGCAGGGTGAGAGCCACCGTCAAGCAAACTAAGCGGGTCTCAGAGCAAGCAGGAGGGCCCTTGGAGAGCTCAAGGTGAGCGTGACCTTGGTGTTCCCTGCCTCTAGGAAACCGTGCTCTGGCTGGCATTTCTATTAGCTACGAAGGCCTTGGCCGGATCCCGACTCCTCTAAAAGGGAACGAAAGTCAACTAAAAAATAGGTGATTTGACTAAAATGAAACTGACCCACAATGATGTGCATGTTGTCATGATTTTGAAAAGAACAAAACGCATAAGATTATATAATTCTTCACATATATATGTATRTATACGGCTATGAATATCTGTGCACCTGAAAGTAGGTGTATCGCTCTCTCTATGTGCATCACCACGATTGCGGCGTCTGTCTGTGTTTTAAATATAGCAGGTTATATAAGGGAAATCTGCAAAAGGGAGGTTTGCAAAACCAAAGGCCCCCCAATACATGATCGCACCCCGAGCTTGCTCCCCCCCGGCCTTGATCTACGAGAAAAGAGTAACAGGGCGGGCCTTGCAAAATGATCTCACTTGACTTTCTCAACAGAGCCCGACACCCAGGGTGTGAAAACCTGGACAGGTCTCATCAGGGAAAATGAAAGACGTGTCGGAGACTTCAAGAGCGAGCTCGTCTGACTCGTGCACCCACCGTCATGAAAAGGGGGTCAATCTGGCTCGTTAAGTTGAAAAGTGTTGCAATTTACGACGGGGTTAATGGCTGCTGTTTCAGGGAATCGAAAATCCTTTTTCCAAATTCTGTTTGGCTCTTGTTAGTTTGTTCTGATTGGATAAATGACTAGGAGACACAGAGGCATCAGATGGCTTCATGACTCCATCAGCAATGATTTCTGCGCCTCTGTACACTCCGAGGCTGCCATCCCACCGGCTCGGGGGCTCTGTGGGCCACAGGCCTCACTCCCGAGTTCAGCCCCCCCTGAGATCTTGGGCTCAGAACACGCACCCCTCCGTTCAGCCGTGCAGATTCGACCCGTAACTCTGAAAAGTGTTGATTTCTTTCTTTAGCGTTGTGCAGTTTACATTGTACAGGTCTGTCAACCTCTTTTGTCAGATAGACCCCCAAACATTTTATTTTCTTTGAGGGTGGGACTGAAAATTGGTGCCACCCCTCTGGAAAGCAGGATGGAGATTCCTCAGAAAACTTGGACTGGAACCAGMACTTGGCCCAGCCGTCCCACTCCTCAGCATATACCCAAAGGTCTTAAGATCAGCACACTACAGGGACGCAGCCACATCAATGTTTTTACAGCAGCTCAGTTCAGAATAGCTGACCAAGCTAGGTGCTCTTCAACAGATGAATGGATAAAGAAAATGTGGGACCTATAATGGTGGAATATTACTCAGCCATGAAGAAGGAGGAAATGATGGCATTTGCTGGGAAATGGGTGGAACTGGAGACTATCATGCTAAGGGAAATAAGCCAATCCCCAAAAACCAAAGGCTGAGAGTGTTCTGTCTGATGTGCAGATGCTAACTCACAATAAGGGGCAGGGAAGGCAAGAACAGAAGTCACTGGATTGGACAAAGGGGAATGAAGGGAAGGAGGGGAATGGGAACAGGAAAGAGTAGAATGAATCGGATGTCACTTTCCTAYGTTCATACATGAATACAGTGTAACCCCACGTCACGTACCGCCACAGGAACGGGATCTAATTAGGATAAGTTATACTCCATGTGTGTATGGTACGTCAAACTGCATTCTACTGTCATGAATAACTAAAAAGAACAAATTAAAAGGTCACCGTGTTAATAAAGCTCATTGCTGGACCTACACTGCTGCCCCTCATTACCACTGCTCACCCACTACCCCCTTCCAAAAGTCTCTGACCACATCCCAAGCATGCGCCACGTTAGCGTTAGTTGCCTGGGTCAACAGTGATGTAGCTTCTGTGGGAGATATGTTCCGAGACCCCCAGTGGATACCTAAAGCTGCAGATGGCAGCAAACTCCGTAGACATTAGGTTTTCCTCCAGGCCCCGTATCTCGACTGCATATCCGGTCCCTTCATTTTACAAGAGGAAAGTGCATCTTGGGGAACTCCTTGTTCTAGGTTGTAGCCTGGTAAGTGACGGCCCACCATTTCCTTCTTTAAATAAAGTTTTATTGGCACACATCCACCTCCTTGGGTCTACAGATGGCCCGTGGTCGTAACCGTACTGATGGACACTGAGGTTCCCATCCAGCCAAATCCAGAGGGTCCAGAGAGCCCGGCCGGGGCCGTTCGCTGAGATAAAGACTGAATTAGGCTTTTGTGGGAAATGCCGAAGTCAGGAAGAGACGGGAGCCTAAGGACGGTGGTAATGATTCTATGTAAATGCACAGGAAGAGAGTCTCTCACCATTCTCTTTCCCATGTGTGTCAATCATGAAAGATGATTGATCTGTAATGCAAAGGCTCAGGGGAGAGGTCTGCAATTGACCGATTTTCAACAGGCGTTCTTGTAAAAATAAAATAAAAATATCGCTTGAATTCTAACTCAGACCAAAGGAAAAAAACAAAAAAAACCAAAAAATCCTAAAGCCTTTCTTCTCATCTGCGCCGGGCCCTCGTGGACGCGATCGTCATTCGGACAGTTGGCCGTTTGCYGATGCTGATGCTCTCTCTTGGAGAATATCAGTTACAATTCCTTCTGAGGATGCTCCTCTTGTCCCAAGTGGATGGCAGGCATCTGTGATAACCTGGCCTACGAGTGGGGTCTACTACCGGGGCCCCTCCTCCCCATCCAAAAAGGAAAAAGATTCRGGAGCCCAGCTCCCTACTTGGCATCTCCAGGGTGTGATGTTTGACCTCACGTTTCACAATGAATGCTGAGGCTGCAGTCATCACGTCTAAGTTCCAGGAAACAGGAAAGGAAGACAAGAAGAACAGAAAATGCACAATCTCCCTTCCCACGTGCCTCACAGGAATTCGGCTTGCATCTCGTTGGCCTGTATACCACCTTCCTGGCTGTAAGTCCAATCTCAGTTTACATCTTCTTGGCCAACAACTCAATGGGTAGGCATACTCATCTGCAGGGCAAGCTAAGAAAACTAACCTTTGAGCTACACGGCCATCCGTCCAGATAAAATGAGATTCTATTACTCAGGAAGTGAGAGATCCTCACCAGAGGTTCACGGGTGGGCTCACTCGGCCTTGGACTGTCAGTCTGCAAATGGCGAGCTTAAAACCTTTTTGGTTATAAACTACGAACCTTAGGTATTGTGTGATAGCAACATGGAACGAACTGACACACCTCTTTGGATGTGAATGCACAATCTCACGAAATGCCTTAGGATTTTTCTTAACCATAGTTCCCATTTTTATAATGAGTATATTATAAAGGGTACTTTCAAGTCACTTAGATTTCACATCGTTACAAAACCAATGTTCACCGTACGAAGCTGGTTTTTTGATAGCGACTTTTAAGTCTATTCAAAAACGTAATGTAGAAATAAATGCCAACCTCATTTCCAGAGGGAAAATAATACTTGAACGATGCCTTCCGAGCGTGATGTATTGCAAATAAAATTCTAAATGACAAAACAGGCCATACTTTCCTTGGAGACTGAACATGTTTTAGCTGGGACTGACAGCATCAAAACTAGGAAACATTAGGAAAGCTTACCTAGTTTGTAGGATAGGTAAATTTTTTATGCACTCTTTAAAAAAATTCCCTGGGTGTATTGCTTCTAATTGGCCGCAGTCAGGATTTCAGATGGCTAAAGAGAGGGACCTCCCTACAAATGATATGTCGTAAGCACGTGGCTACTGAGTCGTCCGGACGGAGACGGGTATTGGACGACAGGATACGTATGTCATATAAATACCTGATGCTCACCTTGTCTACGTTAAAGAGATCCTCGGATGCTAAACCCACCTCGCTGGCTGGTGTGGGTGAAGTAGAAATGGTGCTTGATTATAAAAAGCCTGTCTCTGCTGGGTGTCAGACAGAGTCGGTGCTGGGGGATGAGAGGCAGGTGTTGAACCAGTGTCCCTGACGGGGAGAGAGCTGCCGCATTTTGATAAGGGATCAAAGAGCATCCAGTTCTTTTTCTTGGAAACAAAACTATTGATGCAAAGAATGCGAACCCGTGGATCTGGACCAGAATATGGGAAACGGCCCCTTTTGGAGGAGGTGGATTTCTGGGGAGATTGGCGTGAGCTCCTCCGTGACGGCGACTTTACCTGCCCTTGGTATTCCACTGGTCTCAGTCCCGCGTAGATGGGCACAAAGCTGCTGGCCAGGAGAACCTGGGTGCACAGAGAGAGAAAGGGCTCAGCTCAACAGGCCACCCGGAAAGCCACCGCGGCACCATTTAGAACAAGACTCTTATGACACGAACACCTTCCACGCACGTCCAGACACGAACGCTCACACTCACGTAATAAAAAAAAAAAATATGACGCTTTCAACATGGAGAAGGTCCTAACACCATAGGTACCGATCCACGCGCCCCAAACGAGTGAACTACATGCTCCTAAGTCGAAATCAGTGCAGAAGACCAAGTCCTTTTGGAACCGGTATCTCAATTCCTTGCAGCTGCTAACGGATGATTCCTGATGTTCTACCAATTGCTAGGAAAATGGTGTTTAAAGTCGCCCTGTTATTCTGTGGAAGAAGAATCCCCCWGATTATTTTAGGGGAGATTCACTCCCCACGGTGCAGGATGCCCCCACGGATGCTACCAGGATGTGGCAAAGGGGACGGTACGTGTTTTTAGACACTCCACGTCCCATCCAGCCCAGGAATCATGAAATGCAAGGAGACCCACGAGTCGCTATCTTCCGTTTGAAAAGTGGGAAAGGATCCTCATTCAGGAGAGGATCGGTTCTTCCCAGAGCAGCCGCCGAGCTCTGGCGGCTTCTCCCGCCATCTCCACGTCCTCTTGGGCAGCCGCCTGGGTCTGGAATGGGCAGCGAGGGCTCTGTTTGGGAACAGGCGGCATCGGACGTGGAATATTTCAGCTCTCATCTCTCAGCTGATAAGGGAAAGGCTCTAGGGCTGCTTATCGGCAAAGATTTCATGAGGCTTTTTTTTTTCTTTTTTCCCCAACATGCATTATTCAGAAATGGATTAGAGCCCCAACCCTGGCTTATAAATCATGTGTTTAGAATCATTTAGAACTCAGAAGGCATCTCCCCGCCAAGAAATCATATCATGGGTATGATTTTTTTTAGGTTAGCTCTCAAAAGCCTATTTATGCGGATCTGCCACTCAATTACAGGCCCGGGCGGGTGACAGTGTAACGGGATTTCTGTAGGAAATTCTCCCCTGGGCTGCACCCCGCAGGGCAGGAGCGGGAAGCCCTTCCTGGTGGTGATTTCTGCACTGGGGTCCCTGAGCCGTGGTGTGTGCTTCCTCCTGAGGTGGCTCTTCCTTGCGCCTGTCTCATGGCGGATAGAAACCAGGGAAGAACGGCTCTGGTGCGTCCCCCACGGGGCACTAGGCTGCTGCCCGTCACGTTCCCTAGCAAGACAGAGAAGGAGGGCCCAGGCTGCTGGTGGCACTCTGGGGTCAAGGGCAGATGGAGGTCCTGGTTATGAGAGCTCCCGCGATAATAGGCTCCCGACAGACACGTAGCTCAGGAAGCTTCTGGGGACGGYGGTCTGAAGTGGCAACGTCATGGTAACGGCACAGCCCAGGGACTCCGGCAGGAGAGGACAAGGCCATCAGCCCGGGGTCACACCGCTCTGTCACATCACCCTGGATCTCTGTGCCGGAACTGGCTCTATGATCTGTGAGCCCYGTGCAAAAAGCAAACGCCCGTTTTCCCTGTTCAGAAAGTGCAAACAATGCCAAGATGTTGACAGCGGGGTGTTGGGTCAGTTGAGAGCTGGGGCCTGTGCCCACACGCACACACCAGGGAGGGGACTCCGCTGTGCGCCACCCCGCCCCCAGCGCCTGCCTGAACTCTCAGAATTACTGCTCAAGGCGGCGACATGGCCCGCCCAAGGGTGGCTGAGCTCACGAGTGCGTCAGCCTGCACCTGGGTTGGGGTTGATTTCCACACCACACACACCTTCCCTTGGATGTCTTCCAGGGCCAGGAACTGAGTCCGGTCTTGCCTCCTGTTTGTTTCTTGGCCAGTTTCSTGCATCTCTCTCTTAATCACTTGTCTGTGCAAAGACCCAGTGCRCGCTCATGGGTAGAAGCGCTTCCCGGAGGGAGGGAAGGATCCTCTTTCTTTCTGTTTTTATGGATCCGTTCATTTATTTATGGCGAGGTAGGATAACAAGCTCGCAGGAGACTTGACCGCCTCCCAGTCCGCGCGGACCTGCCTGTAGCAACACGCTCGGCTCAAGGTCTCCCTGCGYCGCACAACAGGACGGGGTGACAGTCCCTCCACCACACCCCTGCACCGGGAGGCAACCCAGGAGCCCAGGAGCGAGGGTCACCTGAGGAGATTTGCTGGAGACCATCGCGGAAATCCGTGGCAGAGCGCCRTCCTCAGTCCCAACCCTCTCTGCCTCCCCCACCGAGTTGGAGAATAAGGTGAAGTTGTCGATTTCATGCCTGGAGCTGTTTTGAGGYATTTGGATGCGGGGGAAGAAAGGGATCCAATTACTTCCCTGCAGATGATCACCGTTGGAATCCTTCCTGAAGGATAGGAAGAGTGCACAGAGCTGGRAAGTGCGTGCCCTTACACCAACGCATTTTTTTCCTGACACTATTCACTCTCCCTTTTTATGGCCCGGTGATGTCTGCATCAAGGCAACCTGAGTGAGGAAATTAGCTTTGGGTAGTTAAGAAGGGAGCGGCTTTCCTTGCTGCCATGGGATGGCAGCAGATAGGGTTTCGTAAGGAGGGAGGTGGAGACTGACGTGCTAAGACCCCTGAATACAACACTGAGTCCCAGCGTGCGACTTCAACGTCACCGATCCATCTCAAGACACCTAGAGCAGCTGTTGTCCACGGAAGGGTCATGTCCCCACCCTCTGCTGAGCCACAACCCCAGCCCTGTTCCTGGTTTTTTATCACCAGTTTTAGCGGTGACCTAGTAAGCAAGGGACTCCGGGTGACACGGGAAACACCTCTGATACATGGGAAACGGGAGGAGCAGATGCCTAAGTGGATTTCAGGAATTTGGAGGCTGCTCTTGTCTGCCTCAAACTGGCTGCAACCACCTACCTTTCCTTTGGGTCTGCCCAAGGGTCCCCTGTGGTAGGTGGCCTTTCAAAGTCAGAGGGTTAAACTCCCTCCTCAGAGCATGCTAGCAGCCGTGTGTGCACACCCACCGCCAGGAGCCGTGAAGATCGCGCACCCACGCCACTAATGATTTCACCTCCAGTCACCCTTCCCAAAGCCCCAAGTCCCCCTGATTCCTTTATCCCACAAATATCCTGAACCCCGGCCTCCAGGAGGCAGATTCGAGACCCGGGTCTCCCACCCCTCTGCTGCGCTGCTGGGTGAATCAACTCTCTTTTGCAAAACTCATTGTTGTTTGCATGATTGACACACCGTGCCGCACGCAGGCAGAGCAGACGGCGGGGGTCAGCCACAGGTCCCCAGATGTCCAGAGCTCCGTGGTTGGGCACACTGATGAGAAAAGCCAAGGCTCACCTTCCTGCCCCGTCTCTGGGTACAGTGCTTTAAACGTGGTGTGCACTGTGAAAGCGTCGACTTTTCATTTTATTCTTACTTAAATATACAAGGATGAAAATCAAAGTTGGTGGCTTCCCGTGGCAGCGGCTCAGAACATTGGCCAGGGCGTATTCAGGACACGTCCTCGCTGGCTCTTTTCATTTCGCGTTTTATAGAAAAGGGGGGTGTTGAGAAAATGATGTGGCTTAACTTCCTTCGCGTATAAATTCTCAACAAGTTTCCTTCAGGCCTGAAGTTTACTGCGCAGCGTGATGAGAATCTGGCTGTTGACACAGAGCCTGCTGGCGYCGTTGACATTCAAAGACAGATTCAAATTTATCTTCCTCCGGTCCCTGCCAAGATAATGGCCAATCTGAAATTCAGTCCTGGTTCCACCTTCACAAGAGCTCAATGGGAGAAGATTCGGCTATAAAGGAGCTAGGTGCGAGGAGATTCAGGACATCGGAGCAACGGGGACAGGGTGCCCGCTCCCAGGAGAGCCGGGGACACTGTTAGAGGTGACMTTCTCCCTGGCCATCCAAACAGAGGAGTATTCACGCCTGTCAGAAGGGCATGTCTCAGAGCACACGTGTGCATCGACTCTGCACACGAAGAGGTTCAGGATCTGCCCCAGGTGAGGGGCGCAGGAAGACGCCACTGTGCCTCGTCGGCAAATGCACTTCGGCTCCGCCCTGCAGCTGCCGCAGGACTGACTTCCTTTTAAACCCAGGATTTATCTCCCTAATTATGCTCTGCTGAAGGCTGATGTTACAATGCACCTGGATTTGCTGGTGGTAAGGTTGCTTCTGACGGAAAGCGGCCCAGAGTACAATCTGGAACTGAAGGGGAACAAGAGTAGGGGCCCTGGAGGGGTCTCACATCCACAGGCCCGGGCTGGAGAGAGGAGGAAGTATTTTCATCGTCCTGCTCTACTTTACCTGTGTGGCAGGTGGACGGCTGGTGGGTCCTGGGGATTGGACCCAGGGCCGTGTGCAGGCAAGGCAAGCACTCTCCCCGCTGAGCTAGGTCCCCAGCCCCAACCTTTTCTTTATGCACCTGAAATACACCTCTTGGACCAGTGGGGATAAAGGAGGGAGCTGTATACAGGCGGYGCGTTGGGGCCCTGGCTGATGGGCATGCACCAAAGGCTGTCCCCTCCCTGGGTCAAGTCAAGTAATCGGGCGGCAGTCAGCAACCGTGTTTCCCTGTCTTCACCTGGTCACCGACGGCAGAGGGGAAGGGGTGGTAAGTACATTCCAGGCCACAGGGTGTGACTTCTCGAGCTTTGTAAAGTAGAAAACACCAAGTGAAATGATCCCCATGGAAATACGATTCGGAACACCATGAAGACCTGTGTGCGACCAGCTTTTCTTCCCTGTGACCAAAATGCCCGCCAGGAAGAACAGAGAGGAGGGATTTACTTTGACTCATGGTTTCAGAGGTTTTAGTCGATGGTGGGCTGGCTCCGTGGCTCGAGTCTGAGGTGGGGCAGAACACGATGGCGGAAGGGCGCGGAAGGGCGCGGTGGAGGAGAGCCGCTCACCTCCTGACTGACACTCAAGCAGCAGAGAGAGAAGGGGCTTCCAGGGGCAAAACACAGACCTGGTCCTCTGACCAGGCCCCAAAGCCCCACCGGGGACAGCGCTGCACTGGGAAGCAAGCCTTCGACACTTGGGCTTTAGGGGGATATTCGAGACCCAAACCATAACAGCCGCAAATAAAATGCATCTTTGGCCACACAAATAATGAGGGCATCGGGAGGCTCTTGGGAAACCATCAGAAGCATCACATCATCAATCAAAAGAATCATTTTGCAGCAGGGAGCCAGGGTGCATGATCCCGGAGAGCACGGACAGGCCTAAACCTGCACACGTGTGCACGCACACACATGCACACGGGTGCACACACATGCACACACATGCACACACATGCACACGGGTGCACACACATGCACACGGGTGCACACAGGTGCACACACATGCACACGGGTGCACACACGTGCACACACACACGTGCACACGGGTGCACACACATGCACACACATGCACATGGGTGCACACACATGCACACGGGTGCACACATGCACACGCACACGTTGTAAGCCCCGGGTTCAAGGCTGTATTTGCAGGCACACAGCACCCCGTCTATACTAAAGAGCAGCAGTGAGCGGGTGCCCAGGGAAGCACCAGGCACCTTTAAGAGATTCACGTAGCAGGGGGCGGATAAATGAGCTCATGACAGCGATGGACACACAAGGCAACCGGGGCACCGCGTCTAGCACTCTCCCGCGTTCCTCCACCCTAACTCGAGCTCACAGACACAGCTGCCTGGTGTCATCGCACAGAGCCACCCTGGGTACTTCCCCGACGGACCCCACGCACCCTCTTCCTTCCTTGCCTTCCATTGGCTCCTCTGAGGCTGCGGAGGCCATGCAGCTCGGGGACAAACCGTCTTCCATCAGCTCTGCTGCAGGCGACACCTCTGACGTCTGGGTTATGAGGACAACGGTTGCCTGGGTTACGTTTCAGGCCCTTGAAAACCATTTTGTCCGAATCACAGAATCCCGCTTGGTCCTGAGCAGGTGTCTTGCTGAGTTGCTCAGCACCTCGGTTTTGCGGAGGCTGGCTTTGAACTCATGATCCTCCTGCCTCGGCCTCCTGGGCCACTTGGGTTACAGGCGTGCACCATGCTGGTTGCATGTCCCCCCACACTGCTGGGTTTGGGCTCTCCCTCTCGGTCCTCACCATKCTTACTCGGTTCAACTCGATGCTTCATGCCTGTTCCAAGCGGCTACTTCATATATTTTTATAGTCACCATCTGCTACAAAGGAAATGTCCTCCCTTCATTTTCGTCTGAAAAGGTTAAAGCATTCTGCTCAAGATGGAGAAGGCTTCTTGTAGAACCCGGGATCGATGCTAATTATTCAATAGTCTCCTTGCGAGGTCTTACACAGGGACATCAGTTATTTCTCTTCTTTTTGACGAACCCAAATAATTGCGCCAGTTCTCTGCGTAGCTGTAACCCCGGGAAACAGGGAGACACGGTGTTTCCCTATGGCAAGAGTTTGCCATCGCTGCCATAACAGATGACCACCAGAGCTTCAAACAAGACACAGCCCTGCGCACGCTGACGGGAGGTCCCATGGTGCTCTGGGTGGTACCAGGCAGGGCTCTCTGTTCCCGTCTGGAGGCTCCCGAGAGGAATCATTTCCTTGCTAATCCAGGTACTAGATGGAGTCACTTGCATTGGGTCTCAAGGCTGAGGTTCCCTGTCAGTGGGGATCYGCCCGTAGCAGCTGCACCTGAACACGGCTTTCACATCTCAGAATCAGCCACAGCACCTCCAGTTTAGGACAGGGCTCCACTTCTCAAGACTCTTGTGCTTATTCTGGGTCCACTGGGACAATGCAGGAGCATGCCTGTCTTTACAGCTCTGGGGACTCAGGTACGGATGTCTTTGGGGGCCCGCATTCTGCCGGCCAAACCCAAAGGGACAGAAAAGATGAGTATTTTTATTTAGCTTCAGGTGTGACCGGAGCAGAAGGCTAGAGAAGAATGCACTGTCCCGCCAGGTGGACCGCTGACTAGCTACTGAATTYCGCACAGGTCATGGAACGTCCGGGACCCACTTCCTACTTTTAAAGCAGGCCATCGTAATAGATGCCACCTCGGCTGGTTTATGTCTTCATTCACGTGTTGGTGGAGCCCCTGTGTCGTGGCTGGCCATGTCCCGGGCACTGGGGCAGCTATGGGAAAACCAGCAATCGCTGACCTCCTGGCGGAGCCTCCTTCCAAACAGCGAAAGCTAAAGTAACCAAGCAGTAAGATGTGCGGGATGCGAGGCCCTGGCCAATCAACCAGGTGGGGATGATAGAAAGAGGGTGGCTACTGGGTACCAGACACAGGTACCTAAGAGGCATAAGCCCTGGTGTAGAGTGGCAATAGTAATGTTATTCTGTATTTCCAAGTTGCTAGAAGRAAGGGTTTCTCATATTCCCAAAGAAATGATGACCGTTGCAAGTGACGGACCTGCTACTGGCCCTGTTGGGTCGTTTTGCCATTGTGCGCGAGTATCAGAAAACCACATTCTGTACCACGGAGATACGTACAACCGTCATAGTTCAACCAGAAGAAAATAGGTCAGCCGAGGCAAGGGGCCCTGCTGGTTTTACATTACGACGGCCCCCATCTCTTCCTAGGTGAGCCAGAAGAGAAATGGCAGTCCTTGTGTGTCTGCATGGGTCATCGATAGCCTGGGACAACTCAGGTGTGGGGTGACCAGCTGTCCTCTTGATATTGTCTAAGTCTACAGAATATTATTATTATAAGATTTATAATAAGATCACGGAAGAAAATTCTTTTTCTGAGATTAAAAGACGGTTATAAGTGATGGCGGTGAACAGGAACGCTGAGTATTTCCACCTGTCCATTCAACATGTCATCAAGCATTCCGGACGGCAGCATCAAGGTGATGTTAAAAACCAGTGCACCTGCTGTCTCACCCGAGTTYTTCGGCCTCCACCCATTACCTCCTGCTGTATCAAAACATCATTCTCTGTGTCATCCAAAGTCGCCATGATTCGCACAAAAGGACTGAGGAAAATCTGCCCCGTTTTCTAAAGATGGGCGCCCTTCCCAAGAGACGGACACTCCAGCATCACCTGAGCAAGTTCACCGTTATTTGGAAATTAACCGGTRAAAGCATTTCCCAGAGACGATGAATTCCCCACCCAGCAACTTCCACATGCCTGTGGACAGAAAGGCRTGAAAACAAGATGCAAGACACAAAACGGAACATTAGATTGAAARGTGGAGACCCGGACACCAGAGCTGGTTCCTAGGAGATATACAAAGGGCAGAACCCCTCGCTTCTTGGGACACCAGGCTACCAGCTATGGCCCCTTCTCCCTCCTGGGAGGAGTCTGCGTTGCCCCTTTTTAAATAAACCCTGCTTCGYATGCTTGCCTCGGCGTGCTTCTCCAACGTTCAAACACGTGGGGAAGCRGCGGTAGGTGTCAACCTTGGCGTGTGTCACACCCCATCAAATCTTTCCACCAGGACTTCCTCATTGTGGAGTCATAAAAGGGCCGTCCCCCGGGCTGGGGCTGGGGCTCGGAGCTGGAGCGCGCTCGCCTGGCAGGTGAGAGGCCCTGGGTTCGAGCCTCAGCACCCCATAAAAATAAATGAATGAAATAAAGGTATTGTGTCCCACGACAACTAAAAAATAAATATCGAAAAAGAAAATAAAAAAAAATAAATAAATAAAAGGGCTGTCCTAAGGCCTGTGCCTCCTGATTCACAGACGACTCTGGACGGATGGAATAAGAGCGCCCGTGTGGACGCTCCTCCACAAACGACCCAGTATCAGCCACGGAAATTTCAGGGAGTATCACTGCTACTAAACCGCACCCGCAACTCGCTTCCCGTGGTAAGTGGTGAAGCCTGAAAATGAGGAGACAGTAGAGGAGGCGYGGGCCTGGCGGCCTGCGGGGGAGGCTGGGGGAGCCATTCATCAGACACATAATGTACTGCGCCCTGAGCGTCCATCAGCCTGGTACCCGACCCCGGATCTGAAGAGCCCGGCGGGCGATGCTTATTATTTCTGGGAAGTATCTAAATCAGTATTTGGTTTTTTTTTTTTTTTTTTTTTGCAAATGGGAAAAGGGGCTGAGCTACCTTAATGAGGTCTTCCCTGGAGGGAAAGCGGGAGACCAGGTAATTCTGCCGGGTCCTGGTGTTGGTGATGGAGACGTACAGGCGGTCCTGGGCCAGCTCGTGGGCGTGGGGAGGAAGGATGGAGTCCACGCCGCTCCTGGAGAAGGAAAAGCAAGCCGCCCGCGTTACTCACCGTGAATTATTGAGCGACTYTGTAAATATTTCACAGGAGCGAGGGCTGCGCTTGGCACGCTTTGTTGGAGAGCGTTSGACACTCTGTCTTCGAGTACTTGGGGGTGGGGGGGGGATGCGCCATGGAAACACGTACCTCAGCCGGGCCATGAAGTCGTAACCGGGGGTCGCCGCCCCGAAAGACTGCTTTCTCGTTTCTTCAGCAAACTGATAGGTGAACCGGTTACACTCCTGAAAAAGAAATGAGCATCGGACCCTCTGCACTGTCCACATGAGTTCATCCCTCTTCCAAAACGCCGCCCACTGCTCTGGATGGCACACGCCCACCCAGGGGGACACAGGATGCCACACTCTTTTGCACAAGTGTGCAAACCTCCCCCCTCCCATCTCCTGRTCCACTCTTGTTAGGCCCAGGGCAAATTACTTGTTCTTACAATTTGTCTCTCTTTTTTTTTTCTTTCTTTTTAAGCCACCTCCAATGGCCTTACTCGAGAATTGAAAAGGCCTTGAAGACTGGACTGAAATTCTAATGTAGAGCATTCTTCTACAGATTGCCAGGCACCATTAACCTTCTCTCCCTCCCCAATTCCCGGCCTCAGAAGCATTTCAATGGCACCCCACAAGGGCACAGATGAATGACAACGGATGCAGGAAGCACAGTGGCTGTCTCTGGAGGTGTGTCTTGGAGCACTGGGCAGCCCTGGGGCAGGGGTGCTCCTGTGCACCCTGGGCTGGGGTCCACCAAGGCTGGTTGTCGCGGCRTGGTCATGGGACCCTGCAAGCTGGGTCTGATCACCTCACTTGGCAGGTAAGAAAACCCAGGCCTGCAGAGATGAGAGGACCCTTCCCAACAGCACATCAGAAATGCACGTGGGAGCCAGGATTTGGATCCAGGTCTGCATTCTCAGCCAGTCAGGTTCTCTGAAGGAGCCGCAGATTCATTGCAAAGATCCTGCCGAGGCTGGACCCTGCCTGGGCTGGGCACTGTGATGACAGAGCCCTTTAGCCGMCGTGGATGTTAACTTTGGTATCTGACCTCACGTTCTCCCGACGAGGAGTAAACTCAGAATATATGGCTAAGCKCAGGCCTCTGGCCTCCACCAGCCCCGAAGCTCAGAAGGCGATTTGTGTCTGAAACCTGTTCCCTGCTGGGCTCTGTCTGACGACCTAATGTCCCCACCAACTACTTAGGAGCATCTCATCTAGGTTCTGCGGTTGCTGTGAAAGGTCCTGAAACCTCTTCCTTGTGCAGGATTGGTGGCCCCTGGTTACAGCATCAACAGGAAGCCAATACAGTGGGTATCAGCCCCCAGTCTCAGGGCCGGAGAGGCTTCCCTCCAGTCTGACATCTGGGCTAGGACTTTCAATGGGAGCTGGACCGGGGGCAGAGATACAGGAGGCAATAATAAGGAGTGGACTTGTTCACCTTTGAGTGCCCCAYGGTGACCAATGCTAGGCCTTCCTTGCAAGTCCTGAGGCTGGACCAGGAATTGAGGGGCGGTTTGCTGGGGAAGGCTTTGCAGCTCCAGGCTCTTTCTCACCTATCCCGGCCTCCATTTGCCCACCACCTCAAAGACGCRGAGCATTCCGGCTCTGGCTCCTCTTAATTAGACATGGAGGGTGCTCCTCTTAATTAGACCTGCATAAGCTCCCAACAAGATTAATTGCATATTTGTCACAAGAGTGAAAAAAGCTCCAGRAATTTACACCACCAAGCAGAACCGAGCTAACCTGTAATTTGAGTAGATTGGAGAGTTTTCCAAAACAAAACAAAACAAAAAAAAACCCTCAAAGCAATTTTATCGACCAGCTATTTCCAATGGCTAAAGAGAAAAGAAATAGCCTTCCATCAACAGGTTATTGTGGCACAGCCCTGGGGATGTGGGTCAGTGGTAGAACATCTGCCTAGTGTGTGTGAGGACCTGGGTTCAATTCCCAGTTGTTCCAAAAAAAAAAAAAAAAAACCCACGTAATCTGATTTGAAAACAATCCAAGCAAATCAGGCATCGTCTTAACATCGCAGAATTCCAGCGGCATAAATGCCTATATTATTGTCGCGTTTCCAAACCATGTGAAGAGTTCATCACAGTTAATACATTTCTGAATTTGCTGAGGACCAGAAATCAAATCGACTCAACTCCAGAGCTCAGGGATTTGTTCCACTTAAAGACTCAATGAAAGAGGAAGCCAAAGTCCCCTCCCCCTCCTCTCCAGGCCACAGTCCCCTCCCCCTCCTCTCCAGGCCACAGCTGGCTGCAGCGAAAAAAGAAAGCAGTTCTGGGCGGAGCGAGAGCTTGCAATTCAAAGCCCAGGATTTTGCAAGCTTGGGGGTGGGGGATTCACACCTCAAGGTTTTCATCCCGTGTCATCACTATGGCTTTTCGTCACTTTTCTAGTTTTCTGAACRCCAACCACCTAAAGACGAGGTGGCTGGATTTCTGAAAAACTTCCCTGAAATCTGAGACTGAGATTTTGGTGTTTAAAATCCCCGCAGCCTTGAGACTCATCCTCGGGCACGCATGGGTTAAATCCTTGTCTTCTGACGGTTCCAAGCCTTTCGCCTGTGTAAGTAATTAGCAAATATTTTCTCCACCCCTAGAAACCAGCTCGGAGTCGGTGAATGTTTGATCACAGTCCAGATAGCAGAAAACCGATTTTAAAAACATAGATTGCATTCAAGAAAATACCTAATGACGGCTAATTTTTTTATTACTTCTGGTTAAACTGCTTGGAATTCAGAGCTTCTACTTACGGTGAGAATTAAAAACAAATTAAATTCCCATATCATTCCACTTAATTGAAACGGTAGGCCCAGTTTCGTTTACGSGCCTGTTAGAAAATAGCAGTGAGCAGAGAGGTACCGGCCACATGTTCGAGCCTTTGAAAAGAGGCTCTGTGCTCTCCTCGTGCTCAGAGAAAGAAGAAAAAATCCTTGGCTGCAAGAAACAGTGCTGGCGTCTTAAGGCTAAATAAAAACTCGAGAGCATTTTTATAGCCTTGCCTTACTGTCACCCCAAATAATCTTCTTTTCCAAACCCAGGGCACAGATCCCTAAAGAGTGGATCTTAGAGAAAAGTCTGAACCTTTTGTTTCCCAGGCAAAGCCTGATTTCTCTGTAAAGAGTCGGCACTCCTGGTCTCCATTCCCTTTTAATTTCTTAATGAGGAACACAGCCTCGTTACTGCTTAATTACCTCTATTTTTTCTGGCGCTGTTAGCAAGACAGAAGCCACCAAGGATCCTGCAGAGGCCCCTGCGAAGGCCTGGACATCCTTCAGCAGCCTCTGGCCGTGTCTGCAAAAGGCAGATGCTGCCCCCAAGTGGTAAATGCCCAGAAACCCACAGGCTGCAAAGGACAAGTTGATGGGCTTCATTCTACCTGCAGAACCGTCAAAAGAAAAACAAAAATGAATAAAATAAAAATAATTAGAAAAAGTTACCCATTAGTAGAGTTCATTCCACACACTGTGTCATTTTGCGCCTGTTTTCCTGCCATGGTTTTCTTTTAACGTATAATTCTCTAAGTGCAGTGGTTTCAATGAATTCTAATCAATCCCAGCAGTTTTTCAGGGAACCATTTTCTTTCTTTCTTTCTTTCTTTTTTTTTTTTTTAACATGGATTCAATACTCTGGTTAATTATTAAAACAACAACAAATCGCCCAAGTTTCCATACTTGTTCTTTTTAATTACTTGCAAGAAACAAATGTATAAATTCCAACTGGCCAGTCCTCTGAGCTTTTTTTTTTTTTTTTTTTTTTTTTCTGAACTTTGGAGACTTTCGTTGCTCTTGCAAAAATGGGGAAATTATTAGAGACTGCATCAAATTCCAAGCGAGCCACAGATTCATTTGCTCTTTGGAAGTGCATCAGTAAATTTCAAAGATAGGTCCTGGTCCACCTCCATTTCCATCGCRGGTATCCTTATCTTTTAAAAATTCTGATACCCCTTTATTGATTAATAATGCAGTAAGCTATTATCCAACAATGCAACACCCTTCATTCCCAAGGAGCTCCAGACAAATTGAGGTCACGGCTGAGAAAAGCTCCAGAAGGCTTCCTACAGTGAATTTCCACCAGGATATACTTGCAACACACCTAAATATGAATATTCTGTACGTGCTGCAAAGCCCCAGTGGACACAATAGGCCCACGTGAAGGAAACCCTGTCCCCACACGCCTGTCCACCCTGGCTTCCTAGGGGGGCCCCAAATCCTGATTCTGGGGCACTGGGGGGAGGCACCCAGGCTGGACCAGGAATTGAGGGACGGTTTGCTGCTGATACCCCAAGCTGGGCCCCGTGCAGGGGGGAGGCTGAGCCTCTGCAGGCTGCACAGAGAATCCGGGCCAGCGCTGCAGGGCCCAGCCCAGGTTTTGTGCAGGCTTGGGGGGTGGGGGCGGGATTTGGGTGGTCTTTTCCTAGGTGGTCAGGCCCATCAGGCGCAGACCGGGAGATCTCCAGCTGCCCGGGGTAGGTGGGGCTACTGCCTCATTTCTCCACCCCCGGGGCAGCCCACCCGGACCCTCCGGAGCCTCGCTCGGGCCCCGGCGCTCGGTCCTACCAATGCCAGCCTGAGGCACTTCCGTGTGGATGGCCCTTAACCAGAAGGGGGAAGCGGGATGTCACTCAAGGCGGCCCCGCCTATCAGAGCCGAGCTCCGCTCGCCGCGCGCCCGCCCATGAAGGTCTGGCGTGAGAGTGGGCGGTACCTCCCCACCTCCCGCCCTCACGTCTGTGACGTCATCACGCCGACGCGGAGGCCCGCCGGCTCTATTTAAATCGCGGCGCTCAACATGGCGGCGCCCACGTTACCGCTCGGCCGGGTGTCCTCTGGTGCGGGCAAGGACAAAACTTTTTCGCGTCGAGTTGTGCTCCCTTAACCGTCTAGAGATGCGTCTGAACCCTTATGAGCCCTTCAGCGCGACCTGAGGGCTGGCCGCCACCTGCGAACCTGCTGACCTTTAATGACCCTCATCGGCCGTGCTCCGGAAGCGCTTGCTCCGCTCCGTCTGTGTCCCGGAAACGGTTCGTTTCTCTTCCCCCGCCCTCGCGCCCTCCAGAAAGCCCCCGCTGTTCCAGGAGACTCAGGCGGGGGGCGGGGTTGGGGCAGCTCCCACGGCGGCTTTTCAAGGGCCACCTTTGTKTTTTGTTTTTCCTAAGCGCTTTCTGCAAAGGCTGGACCATGACTTGGGGGCARCTTTTCACATCCTCATGTGGCTTTAGGCTGTGTGACCTTGGACAGGATGGGCGATGTCTCTGAGCCTCCTGGGTGTCTCGTCTGCAGAAGGGGGAGGCTCAGATAGGAGTTAAAAGCTCCATTTTAAAGCTCCTGGGTCCAGTGTCACTGTTGGCTGTGGGTCAGACTCAGGAAGCCCGACCCAGATTGGAAGGGCTCTGGCAATTTTTGTTTTTTCAAACAGTGCCCTCCTCCTCATAATCCAGGCTGCAGCCATCTCAGGAATGGCAGCCGAAGGTTCTGTGGGCCCCCTGGTTTGACGACAGAGGTTTTCTCTGACCACAGATAGAGAAGCGAATCTGGCAGCTGCAAAGGGGGGCCTCTTCCTTCAGCAAACCGGGGAGGAAGCTTAAAAGCTGATCAAATTGCCTCCCCCTGGTGGGGAGCCACCTCGGTTCCAGGACATTTCTGATGTGATGATTAAGGAATTAGAGATTTGGGGTTTAATTCCTGTAAGTCTGGAAAYACCGCCATGCTCAAAACCCAATTACTGCGGGGCGGGGTGGCACAGGCCTGTAATACCAGAGGCTCGGGAGGCTGAGGCTGGAGGATCTCCAGTTCAAAGCCAGCCTCAGCAATAGTGAGGCCCTAAGCCACTCAGGGAGACCCTGTCTCTCAATAAAGTACAAAATAGGGCTGGGGATGGGGCTCAGGGGTTGAGTGCCCCCCGAGTTCAATCCTGGGTACCAAAAAAAGAAAAGTTAACAGTGTCCCTGGGTATTTATTTAGGTTAGCATTGCTAGGGCCTGAGTGTTGGCATGCCTCCCCAGATGAATGTGTTTAAATCTCCACACACACCCAGTGTGACGGTGTTAGGAGGTGGGCCTTGGGGAGGTAGTGAGGTCCAAGGGTGGGGTCCCCATGGACAGGATTAGTGCTCTCACAAGAGGGCCACCCCAAAGCCCTGTTTCTACCACTGAAAGGCGCACCTGCAACAGGCACGTGGGAGTCCGCAACCTGAAAAAGAGCTCYATCGGGACCAGCCTTCTGAGCTACGGGAATTCACGTTAAACCACAGAGTCTGTGGTCCTCTCTCACGGCCACCTGAGTGGACTGAGACGGTGGTCTAGTTTAGACTGGTCTGGTGGCACGGAAAGACTGAGGATCGCCCCTATTTCTTTTTCTTCCTTTCTTTTGCAGAATSAGACCCTGGGACGGTGTTGGCAGAAGGCCTGTCCCTGATTGTTAAGATGCAGGTGGACACCTCTGCACTGCACAGCTCGGGTGGACACTGCAAACATGGCGTCCATCACCTCCAGGAGAGAGAAGGCTCCTGCCAGAGTGTGACCCCACCGACTGTAAGTCTCACTGGAGCCACCTATGTGCTCTGTGACTCTTAAAGTGTTACACGTGTTTGTTTTGCTCTCTGTTCTATCCTCAATCATATTTCCACGTAGTTAGTTAAAAAGTTCAGCAGCTCCCTCACGTAAGGAAGAGTATCATTCCCATTCGTCTCTGTCGTTTCTCTACCGCGCATGGTGCTTGGCGCCCAGTGTGGAATCAATATGGGTTTCTTTTGAAGGCTGGATTTCCGTCAGTCACCACTGTGGTCTGAGAATATACTAATTGCCCTATTAAAACCGTTTCTGAAGTCCATGTATTTGCTTATTCTTGCTTCTCTGTTTTCCTTAGTGATTTTGTTTTGAACGGGTGCATTTGGTCATTTATCCTAGAATTATCAAGTGTCTGTGGGGTAGCAGGTCTGCGCTTGCACAGGGCACCCAGAGCTGACAGGAGTTCAGCCTTTATCACCAAGGATGCAGAGTGCAGCTGGGCGCCGGCTCGTGAAATCAGAGCAGCACAGTGTGGTGCTCTTGCAGAGCCTCACATAGGTGCCCTGCGTGTGCACCCTGAGCTAGACGTTAGGAAACTCTTGGCTCTGGGAGGCATCTGTCACTGCTCCCAGCCCATAAATGAGGTGCTCGAGACCRAAGGCTCCCTGGGATCCCTCTCCCGGAACCTCATCCTGCACAGCACAGTTCCACTCTCCACACTTCAGCGGCTCACTCAGAAACAGTCTGCAAATATTCCATGGGAAGTTCCAAGGATCAATTCTTTGTCAGTTTTCAATTGCTTGTTGCGCTGAGTAGCGTGGTGGTGGTGGTGGTGGTGGTGATCTCGTGTCCTGCTCCGTGCTGCGCAGTAGGTGAGTGACCCCTCTGTGCAGTGGATCCACACAGTATACATCACCTACCCTTCAGTTACTCCGTTGGTTATCATCGGTTCAGTTGTGGTCCTGTTGGTATTCAAGTGACATGTGTTTTGCTTGATAATGGCCCTGGGAACGCCAGGTCAGTGATGCCAAGGAGAGGCTGGGGGACAAAACAGGGACTGACCGGTCAACCCTGACCCTGTGTGGCCATGCCGCAGGACAYATAGGAAGAGGCACAGCATGGATGGGGTCAGTCCCGTCTGTGCGTTCAGGTATGCACTGAGGTTCTTGGAACATGTGCTTCTGAACCTGTCAACACATGTGCATCGCCCGGATCTGAAGACCAGGCACGGCAAAGAGGTCCCCCTACCGCGGGCATTTCTGTTGTTGTGTTAAATTTCCTCTTTATTTAACCCAGACAGTTGAAATCAGCCGGTGCAGTGGCACGCACCTGTCATCCCAGCAGCTCGGGAGGCTGAGGCAGGAGGATCACGTGATCAAAGCCAGCCTCAGTCAAAGCGAGGCCCTCAGCAACTCAGTAACTCTCTGTTAATTGGTACATTAAATAAAATACTCTAAATAAAATTAAAAAAATAGGGCTGGAGATGAAGCTCAGGGGTCGAGTTCCTGGGTTCAATTCCCGGTACCCACCCAACCCCCAAAAGAAATCAAAATCAGCATACTTAGTGAATATTCACAACAGCACAGTTCACAGCAGCTAAGTTGAGAGAGCAGCCGAGGTGTCCATCGGCAGACGATGGATGAAGGAAATGTGGTGCACATACACCAGGGAGCTTTACTCAGCCCTGAAGAAGAATGAGATCACGACACGTGCTGGTAAATGGAAGGAACCAGACAGCATCGTGCCAAGTGAAATAAGCCCGACTCAGAGAGTCACGAGGCTGATGCCTTCTCTCTTATGCAGAAGATTGAGAGGAAAAGGGAGTTAAAGACCAGGAGTTCCCAAGAAAATAGCTGGGACAACAGTCGGGTGGAGGTGGTGCATGAAGGGAGACAGGAGGGGCAGGACAGGGAGGGACCTGGGGACAAAACAGACTCAATGATGCCATGTGCATGTGTGGGTATCACACCCACTTCCACGGATGTCATGTACCAATTAACAAGTCTGTCCATRGATGGCTAACTCCGTTGCTCTGGGCCCAGGGAGCGGCGTGGTGGGAGAGCGTGGAGGAGGAGAGCAGCTCAGGACAAGGCWACAGGAAGCAGAGAGAGCTGTTGTGTAGACACAGGGTTCAGATCCCTGGTAGCCAGGTGGTGGGGGTGAAGTGCAAAAGGYGTAACAGGGCCCCAAATGTTTTTAAAAATCCCCGTGAGAGAGAATCTGTGTCCCTCCCTGTGTACGGTGTCGCAGAAGAGCCGTTCTCTTGACATGACGGCTCTCGTCCACCCTTTGTCCGCACAGGCAGTCCCTGCTAGCCTTCCACTAGTTTTTTCACGGTGGAGAAGATCACTGGAGCAATAATACCAGTGTCAAGTCACATGGTGAGGTGATAAAAAGACGGGCTGCGTTAGTGCCTTATGCTTTTATTAAACTTGTTAATTTGCTGTGTAGGATCTAATCCTGAGCTGTGCTCATAATCCAAACACACATCCCGGGCTGGGGTCGTGGCTCCCGGGTCGAGCGCTTGCCTGGCACGTGTGAGTCTCTGGGTTTGAGTCTCAGCCCTGCATATAAACAAATAAGTAAAATAAAGGTGCATCAACAACTCAAAAAAAAAAAAAAAAGAAATCCTAAGTGCCAAAACCTTCAGTGAGTCACCTACCTCATTTCAAAGAGAGAGAGTTAGGATCTGGGTGGACGGAGGTTCCTTGATATCCCTGGGAGATTGGTTTCAGGACGTTCTCAGTTGCCAAAGACCAGCACCTGGCGGAGTGRTCGCGGTTGACCTTGGTGATCTGCAGGTTCCATGTCCAAAGACTCAGCCAACCGCAGACAGAAAATGTCCTTTAAAAAACTGAGCTGCATTTTAACACGTACACACTTTTCTCTCTCGTCACAGTTTCCCGAACAACGCAGTAGAACAGCTGCTTGCGTAGTATTTACGTTGTATTGATAACATCAGTCCAGTGCTGGTTTGGAGTTTGTAGGAGGTTTTGCACGTGGAATCCTTTGCCGATTTACRTAAGG